TAGAGAAGGGTATTATTTAACCCCACCCACATCTTTTTTTTATGCTCAGGCTTTCCCCTGTTCTACTGCGTAGTTCTAAAGCAGGGCTCCTTTTGGAGATGGCATGTTACGGACATTCCTATAAAGTAGCCCTATCCAGTTAAAACAACTCATCCTTTACTAAAAGGCAAGGTTGCTTCTCACTAACCCCTCTAGCTTCTTATTATGCTTTCTGTCACCTCATTTTGTCTTTGTAGTTTTTTTTCTAGGCACATGAACATACGTCAGAAGAAGCCTGGCTTGCTGCCATCTTCTATTTTTATTTTTAAGGTGACTTTGGGGATCTCTGTGTCTGTTTCAAGTGAGAGAAAGCTGGCTGAGCACCTTTGATGGAAAGAAAATTGTGGGAAAGGGAGCTGTAGAATGAGAATTAAAAGAGAGGAAATGTTTTGTCAGGCTTATTGAAATGAAGACTAAAAAAAGTGTACAGATTCCAGAACTAGAGTGATTTTGAAACTAGCCAGGATGTTGGATCCAAGATTATGATATTGGCAGCTTATGCGGCAGAGAGGGAACCAATCAAAACAAAATCATTTTTGATGTCATATACCTGGAGGTAGGCTACACATGATAGAGAACAGTCCATCTGCAATATTTGTCTAGGCTAGACTATGAAGTCTTCTGTTCTCCTGCATGAGCATATTTCAACATCTGGCAGGTCTACTACTCTGACTGGGTTGGCATATAGGGATAGGCAAACAATTTCCTTTTGTTTTTAACTACAACCAGTATAAGTTGCTGAATGGGCATTTAACTCAAAATTGGTCCTTTTCTAGAGAGCTCATACTGTGGGTTCTTGCCCCTGGCCAGGGATGTCCTAGATCAGTGTTTCTCAACCTTGACAATTTTAAGGCATGTGGACTTCTGGGAGTTGAAGTCCACATGCCTTAAAATTGTCAAGGTTGAGAAACACTGGCCTAGATGATCTCCCAAATACCTTCTATTCCTTACATTCAACAATACTATGAACTTAAGGTAATAGTTCATTTCCTTTTCTTTTTCTACCTTCCAAATCTTTTGTGGACATCTGTTTTCAACAGGTATCCCCACATACTTTCTTTCTGTAGAGTCATCTGCTACCAATATTCTAGACAATCATAGATTCCTATAATGCAATTTAGCATTCTCGTAGCATTCACACATGTTCTATTGTATGCTTAGTGTATTTCCTGAATATGAGGAATCATTATCTTATTTTAAATAGCTCTGTCTGGGTTCAAGTCATAGGCAGTTATCTAAGTTCATTTGGTTCACTAATTCAGTATAATGAGGAGAAACCAATTATCATTTATTTCACCTCTAATTACAGCTACCCAATTACAACTAACTGGGGATCTCATGTTTTTTTAAAAAATAAATATGATGTGTAATACATGCATCCTTGGAGAAATCCGTTATGAAGAAAAATGTAGCATCCAGAACACCAATTTTGATTGATGCGTTCCCTGTGGTTATATTATGTAAAAATATTTTATTAGGAAAGCTATTTTATGCAACCTGCCTGTAGATTGCCAAAGAAATGGTATTTTTCTAGATACTGGTCTCAGCTCATGGAATCAGACTCTTAACCCACAACGTATTTACTGAATCACATGAAAATATATGAAAATCACATGCAACTACAATAAGATCTGAAGAAAACTTCCAATGCTACTTAAAGGTGAGCTGTTTGTTGAAAGGGAACCTATTAATCTTAGGCTCAAACTTGATAAGACCCAGAAGGGTTCAATATGCCCACGCAGGTGAGCGGGAAACAGACTAGCTGAAAAAAAGAAAACAGATGCATTTTCTTTGGTGTCTACATTCTTCCCAAAACACAGAAAGCCTGTTTTATGATGTTGAGCATCTGGAGCCAGCCAACCTGCAAAAGAAACTTAGAATGCATATATTATGTGGAATTAACAATTGTGTAAATGATTTCCTAAGGGGAATGCTTTCAGATGTAAAGCTATTTACATATATTGTTATCTTTTAATCTCTATCTAATTCTAATTATATCTAGAGTCCAGTAACTTATAGGCATTCTTCACCCAGGACGGACTAGAAGAGGGGCTGTTGTCAAGGGTAGAGCACCCATTTTCTGGGATGGGTTTGAGCTGGTGACTCCTGAGGAAGTGGGCAGGGCTCATATTGCTGTCAGCTTGGCCACCCATTTACCGGATCCGGGTCTCTTCTGGGTCATGAAGTGTCCAGGGAGGTCATAACTGGGTCTGTGGTGCTAACCTCTCTTGACAGAGGGATGGTGTCCCCAGCCTTGAAAGAGGCAGTGGTGACACCCTCCTCAGAAGGCCATTCTTGGGCC